CAGCCAGTGGAGAAGCTTGGGCAGAGGCCCTCGAAGAAAAGCAAAGGCAACGGCGACAGGAAGTTGGAAGGATTCGGAGGCTGGTGGCCCTTGTGTTGGCCATGCCAAATGGACTAGCCCACGGACAACTGAAGGGGGCCAACATGCAGAATGGGCTTTGTCCGGCAGGTAAGGAAGTATATGGAGGAACAAAACCGCCTCACCAACCAAAATATCATCACCAGGAAGGAATAATACAGTTGATAGGAAAGTAGTGCAGGCAAGATGGCCTCGTATAGCATAACAGACAAGCAAGCGAAACGCTCGTTCAGGTTCGAGAACGGGATGGTTGAGAAGTCGAAGATTCAATTCGGTCAGAAAATCAAAGGCCCATTTGGCCAAGTGAATGTGGAAATCAGGTGTGCTGGTGTCGATATTATTCTTGTTAGAAATTTCGGTGGGTGCTTCCGAAGGCGTCGATGATAATAATTCTGAAAAGTGATCAGAGGTAGAAACAAGGGAGACGCTATGTCTCTTTCTGATATCCCTGTTCAGCAAATCAGCGTCAATGATTGACGAATCTCTCTGGTCCTGAGTAAGTGAGAAAGTGGAATGACTAGATGTCACAGTGAAGGCAGAAACAATCTGGTCAATGAAAGAAATCAAAAGCAAAGGATCTAATGAGCCGATTCGGGGACGCATCAATAAATATGGCAAACGAATTTTGGCAGAGTGCTCCGAATAATTTTGTTGACACGTAGGTGATCGAATGTTTGAAATCCAAGCGAAAAGATTTTCCTTAATCAAAGAGAGGAGTCTATAAGGCAATCCTGTAGGATGTTCGATTAGCCGGGAGAGATGATTCATGAGGTAAGCGACCTGATAATGATAGTTAGGTATGAAGCATTTGGGAAGAAAAAAAAGATGGGACGACATATTAGGTCAAAGTTGCCTCCAAACTTCCTAATAGCCTAGTTAGTGCATGAAAAACGTGTACCTCTTAGGATAATTCCATCCATAATAAAATGGTGCCCGTGATAAAACAAAATAAAATTTAATACATTAGCATAATAATAAAGCAGTATTCCATATAATGTTTGAGTGAAATGATATAAGATTAATAATGTGTCTTCATCACAAACTTAACAAAATATTAGAAGTGGGTTGACCTCGTTGTTGCAACTTGGTCTTGTTGTCATGGTGTCCTTTCTCAGAAGGTACCAAGTACACTGTCTGATGCTGGGAATCATGACAACTACTATGGCAGACGACTTCGGACTAGGTGCATTCTACTAAG